AAAAATAAAATTAATGCTAGAACGTTGAATAGACTTAGATTGGTGGAAGCTATTTATAAATATTAAGATGGGAAAACATCATTGACAATATATTTGAAAGATGATAATATGGATGATACCTAGAGACTATATTGTCAATTAATACTAATACAACACATGACCACAAATTGAATCAGTGGGTAAGATACTTACCTTTAAAACGTTTTAGAATAGTAATCCCTCCCAGATAGTTCTGGAAATATTTTTAAAGTCTTTGATGAAACAGATAATCCTTGTCTATATAACTGTTCAGAGAATAGGAAAGAAGAAATTTCACAGCATGTATTACAAGACATGTAACCCCAGTAATAAAGAATGACAAAAGCAGTACACAAAAGTAGAATTGTAGAACAAGCCCACTTATTAACATAGATGCAGAAAGCCTGAATATACCAACACCAAATTGAAACCTCATGAGGTATGTGTGTGTGGGTGTTTGTGTATGTGATCACATGTAAGTATTCTTACTTAAAACAATAGAAAAGGGCTTAAATAACAGAAAATTTGAAAGTGTTCTCATACATTTTAACAAATAATAAGATAATTTCAGTCATTGCATTGAAATTTTTGGTACAAATCCAGCTTCAATTCATAAGTACAAAAGAAACAAGCAAACAAACAGAAACAAAACCTCTAGCAAATCTGACATCGAAATTTCCTCACAATGATTTACTAATGTATTTGTTATAACTCTGAATTAAATATCATTTCCTTCATTGATGAAGCTTTAGAAACTACAAAGACCAGTAATAGTCTCCAATTCAAATAAAAGTGCTGTATTCTATTGTTTTGTGATCTATTAGGTAGTAACATAGAATTATAGGGTAGCCGGCGCCATGTCTCAATAGGCTAATCCTCTGCCTGCCACGCCGGCACACCGGGTTCTAGTCCCAGTCAGGCCACCAGATTCTGTCCCGGTTGCCCCTCTTCTAGGCCAGCTCTCTGCTAGGGCCCGGGAGTGCAGTGGGGCATGGCCCAAGTCCTTGGGCCCTGTACCCCATGGGAGACCAGGAGAAGCACCTGGCTCCTGGCTTCAGATCAGAGCGGTGTGCCGGCCACAGCGGCAATTGGGAGGGTGAACCAATGGTAAAGGAAAATCTTTCTCCTTGTCTATCTCACTGTCCACTCTGCCTGTTAAAAAAAAAAAAAAAGAATTATAGGGTACACAAAAGAACATTGACAAGGCAGGATGTCAGGGTGTCAGGAAAATAGCATTTACGGAATAAACAACTATATATATGTGTGTGTGTGTGTGTGTGTGTGTATGTATGTGTTGTGTGTGTGTATGTGTATGTATATATATAAATGTAGGAACTTCTCTGCAAATGAACAGTGAACTCACAGTGTATAGTGTAAGGGTAGGAAATTTCAGGCAACATGTCTTGAAGGTGATTTTTTTAAAATTTTTATTTAGTAAATATAAATTTTCAAAGTACAGTTAATGGATTACAATGGCTTCCCCCCCCCATAATTTCCCTCTCACTCACACCTCTCCCATCTTCCACTCCCTCTCCCATTCCATTCACATCAAGATTCATTTTCAATTATCTTTATATACAGAAGATCGATTCAGTATATATTAAGTAAAGATTTTATCAGTTTGCACTCACACAGAAACACAAAGTGTAAAATACTGTTTCAGTACTAGTTATAGCATTACTTCACTTTGCACAACACTAAGGACAGATCCCACATGAGAAGTAAGTACACAGTGACTCCTGTTGTTGACTTAACAATTTGACACTCTTGTTTATGGCATCAGTAATCTCCCTAGGCTCTAGTCATGAGTTGCCAAGGTGATGGAGGCCTTTTGAGTTCGCTGACTTCGATCTTATTCCAACAGGGTCATAGTCAAAGTGGAAGTTCTCTCCTCCCTTCAGAGAAAGGTACCTCCTACTTTGATCGCCCTGTTCTTTCCACTGGGATCTCACTCGCAGAGATCTTCCATTTAGGTCTTCTTTTTTTTTTCTCCAGGGTGTCTTAGCTTTCCATGCCTAAAATACTCTCATGGGCTCTTCAGCCATATCTGAATGCCTTAAGGGCTGATTCTGAGGCCAGAGTGCTATTTAGGACATCTGCCATTCTATGAGTCTACTGTGTATCCCGCTTCCCATGATGGATCGTTCTCTCCCTTTTTGATTCTGTCAGCTAGTATTAGCAGACACTAGACTTGTTTGTGTGATCCCATTGACTCTTAGACCTACCAGTGTGATCAAATGTGAACTGAAAGTGAGTGTGATTTTTTTGACTTTAAAACATATATACTTCTTTGCCACCCATTTTTATAAAGGTTTTTTCTCAGATTCAGTAAGTTTTACTTGGTGTGCCATTTAAAAGTTTATTTATTTTGAAAGTATTACAGAGTGAGAAGAGAGACAGAGAGGAGAGATCTCCTTCTCTAGCTCACTCCCCAGATGGCCACAACAGCCAGCTCTGGGCCAGACCAAAGCCAGGAGCCAGAAGCTTCTGGTCTCTCACATTGGTGCAGGGGCTCAAGGACTTGGAGCAGCCTCAGCTGCTTCCCCAGACCATTAGCAGGGAGCTGTATTGGAGTGGAGCAGCTAGGAGGGATCCCATCAGGCACCAATATGGATGCTGGTGTCACAGATATCAGATTAACCCAATGTGCCACAACATGATATTACATTTTTATCTCCTCATGCATGAAAGATTTATTTTATTTCACCATAGAAAGTACTCCAAATTACTGTTTCTATATTCTTATAATCTATTGTTTATAAAAGTGCCAAATGGCCACTAAACCATGCCTGGGCCAGGCTGAAGTCAGGATCCAGGAACTCCATCTTAGTCTCCCACTTGAGTGGCAGGCTCCAGAGAAGTTGGGTGATCTGCTGCTGCCTTTCCAGGAGCATTAGTGGAAAGCGGGATTGGAAGCCAAGTAGCTCAGACTCAAACAGGCAATCCCATTAGGGATGACAACAACCCAAGTGGTGAATTAACCCACTATGACAAACTCAGCATCTCTTAATTTCCCTATTAATAAGAACATTATTGATGTTACTGTTTCTTGTATGTTGACTTTGTATCCTGCAATTTTACTGAGTATATTTGTTAATTTTAACAGTTTAGTGGAATGTTAAGGTTTCTCTACATATAACACCATATTATCTGAAAACATGGCTATTTTAACATCTTCTTTTTTAACTTTTATTTAATGAATATAAATTTCCAAAGTACAGCTTATGGATTACAATAGTTCCCTCCCTTAACTTCCCTCCCACCGCAAGCCTCCCCTCTCCTGCTCTCTGTCCCCTTCAATTCACATCAAGTTTCAGTTTCAATTCTCTTTATATACAGAAGATCGATTTAGTAAATATTAAGTAAAGATTTCAACAGTTTGCTCAGACACAGAAACAAAAAGTGAAATATATTGTTTGAGTAGTACTTATAGCATTAAATCACAATGTACAGCACATTAAGGACAGAGATCCTACATGAGGAGTAGGTGCACAGTGACTCCTGTTGTTGACTTAACAAATTGACACTCTTGTTTATGGCATCAGTAATCACCCTAGGCTCTTGTCATGAGTTGCCAAGGCTATGGAAGCCTTTTGAGTTTGCTAACTCTGATCATATTTAGACAAGGTCACAGTCAAAGTGGAAGTTCTCTCCTTCCTTCAGAGAAAGGTACCTCCTTCTTTGATGGCCCCGTTCTTTCCACTGGGATCTCACTTGCAGAGGTCTTTCATTTAGGTCATTTTTTTTTTTTCCAGAGTGTCTTGGCTTTCCAAGGCTAAAATACTCTCATGGGCTCTTCAGCCATATCTGAATGCCTTAAGGGCTGATTCTGAGGCCAGAGTGCTGTTTAGGACATCTGCCTTTCTATGAGTCTGCTGTGTATCCTGCTTCCCATGTTGGATCGTTCTCTCCCGTTTTGATTCTATCAGTTAGTATTAGCAGACACTAGTCTTGTTTATGTGATCCCTTTGATCTTAGTCCAATCATTATGATCAATTGTGAACAGAAATTAATCACTTGGACTAGTTAAATGGCATTGGTACCTTCCACCTTGATGGGATTGAATTGGAATCCCCAGGCACATTTCTAACTCCACCATTTGGGGCAAGTCATCTTGAGCATGTCCCAAATTGTACATCTCCTCCCTCTCTTATTCCCACTCTTATATTTAACAGGGATCACTTTTCAGTTAAGTTTCAACACTTAAGAATAACTGTGTATTAACTACAGAATTCAACTAATAGTATTAAATAGAACAACCAAAAAATACTAAAAGGGACAAAGTATTAAGTTGTTCGTCAACAGTCAGGGTAAGGGCTGATCAAGTCACCGTTTCTCATAGTGTCCATTTCACTTTAACAGGTTTCCTTTTTAGTGCTCGGTTAGTTGTCACCAATCAGGGAGAACATATGATATTTGTCCCTTTGGGACTGGCTTAATTCACTCAGCATGATGTTTTCCAGATTCCTCCATTTTGTAGCAAATGACCGGATTTCATTGTTTTTGACTGCTGTATAGTATTCTATAGAGTACATGTCTCATAATTTCTTTATCCAGTCTATTGTTGATGGGCATTTAGGTTGATTCCAGGTCTTAGCTATTGTGAATTGAGGTGCAATAAACATTAAGGTGCAGACAGCTTTTTTGTTTGCCTATTTAATTTCCTTTGAGTAAATTCCAAGTAGTGGGATGGCTGGGTTGTATGATAGGGTTATATTCAGGTTTCTGAGGAATTTCCAGACTTACCTCCATAGTGGAATCTTCCTCTGCTTTCCCAGGCCATAGCAGAGAGCTGCATCAGAAGTGTAGCACCCAGCATCCAAACTGGAACTCACATGTGATGCCGGCACTGCAGGCGGTGGCCTTACCAGCTATGCCAGAGAGCCAGCTCTTCCCATAAGTTTTTATATGTTGTGTTGTCATCTTCATTTGTTTATTCAGTAACATGCTGATCAGTCTCCATGTGTTTGAATATTTTCTAGAGTTTCCTCAGCTGTTATTTCCAGTTTCATTCACTTGTGGACAGAAAAGATACATGGTATGATTTCAATTTATTCAATTTGTTGAGACTTGCTTTATGGCCTAGCATTTGGTCTACCCTAGAGAAAGTTCCTTGCATGGATGGAAAGAATGTGTATTTGGAAGCTATGGAATGAATGGTCTTTCTATATCAATTAAGGTCATTTGGTCCATAGTGTAGACTAGCTCTATTTTTTATTTATTTATTTTTGCATCTAGCTGATCTGTCCATTGATGAAAGTGGGGGTTGAAGTCCCCCATTATTGTATTGGAGCCCAGGTCTCCCATTAGATCCATTAATATTTGTTTTCAATAACCACACAAAGTATCATTGTGTGCATATTCCTTCATTATAGTCACATAGTCTTGTTGAATTGAACCTCTAATTATTTTATCAGTCTTCTGTCTATTTTGACAGGTTCCATGGTAAAGCTTACTCTTTTTCTGATAGTAGGATGCATATAGACCAATAGCACTGAGGAGGGTAGACGCAAAAATCTTCAACAAAATACTCACTAATCAAATCCCACAACACACCAGAAAGATCATTCACCTAGATTAAGTGAGATTTATCCCAGGGATGCAGAGACAGTTCAACATATGAATCCAGAATAAAAACAATAAGATTATCTCAATATATGCTGAGAAAGCATTTGATAAAAGACATGTTTCATGATAAAAATCTTAAGCAAATTGGGTATAGAAGGAACATCCTTTAATACAATCAAGGCATTGCCAGCATCATACTGAATTGAAAAAGTTGAAAGAATTTCAACTACGATCTGGAACCAGAAGTGGATGCCCACTTTCATCATTGCTTTTCAATATAGTCCTGGAAGTTTTAGAGCCATTAGGCAAGAAAAAGAAATCAGTTGGATACAATGAGAAAGAAGGAAGTCAAATTATCCCTGTGCATATAACATAATTCTATTTAGAGTGGAACCAAAGGATTCCACCAAGAGACTATTGGAACTCCTAAGACTACTGGTAAAGTGGCAGGATATAAAATCAACACACAAAAATCAATAGCCTTTGTATACCCAAACATTGCAATGGGTGAGAAAGTACTTGTAAGATAAGTTCCATTCACAACAGCTACACAAAATTTAAAAACACTTGAATAAATTTAATCAAGAATGTGAAAGATCTCTACAATGAAGATTACCAAACATTAAGCCACTATAGAAGTCAGTCTGGAGATTCCTCAGAAACCTGAATATAACCCTACCATACAACCCAGCCATCCCACTACTTGGAATTTACCCAGAGGAAATGAAATTGGCAAACAAAAAAGCTGTCTGCACATTAATATTTATTGCAGCTCAATTCACAATAGCTAAGACCTGGAACCAACCCAAATGCCCATCAACAGTAGGCTGGATAAAGAAATTATGGGACATGTACTCTATAGAATACTATACAGCAGTAAAAAAAAAAAAAAAAAACGAAATCCAGTCATTTGCAACAAGATGGAGGAATCTGGAAAACATTATGCTGAGTGAATTAAGCCAGTCCCAAAGGGACAAATATCATATGTTCTCCCTGATCGATGACAACTAACTGAGCACCAAAGGTGAAACTTGTTGAAGTGAAATGGACACTATGAGAAACAGTGACTTGATCAGCTCTTGTCCTGACTGTTGATGTACAATGTAATACTTTATCCATTTTAGTATTTTCTCTTTGTTTTGCTCTAGTACTATTGGTTGAACTCTGTGATTAACACACAATTATTCATAGGTGTTTAAATTATAACTGAAAAGTGATCCCTGTTAAATATAAGAGTGGGAATAAGAGAGGGAGGAGATATACAATTTGGGAAATGCTCAATAGGACTTGCCCTAAATGGTGGAGTTAGAATCATGCTAGGGGATCCCAATACAATCCCATCAAGGTAGCATGTACCAATGCCATCTCACTAGTCCAAGTGATCAATTTCAGTTCACAATTGATCACACTGATAGGTCTAAGAGTCAAAGGGATCACACAAACAAGACTAGTGTCTGCTAATACTAGCTAATAGAATCAAAAAGGGAGAACGATCCAACATGGGAAGCGGGATACACAGCAGACTCATAGAATGGCAGATGTCCTAAACAGCACTCTGGCCTCAGAATCAGCCCTTAAGATATTCGGATATGGCTGAAGAGCCCATGAGAGTATTTTAGGCATGGAAATCTAAGACACACTGGAAAAAAAAAAAAGAAGACCTAAATGGAAGATCTCTGCGAGTGAGATCCCAGTGGAAAGAACGGGGCCATCAAAGAAGAGGGTACCTTTCTCTGAAGGAGGAGAGAACTTCCACTTTGACTATGACCCTGTGGAATAAGATCAAAGTCAGCGAACTCAAAAGGCCTCCATCACCTTGGCAACTCATGACTAGAGCCTAGGGAGATTACTGATGCCATTAACAAGAGTGTCAAATTGTTAAGTCAACAACAGGAGTCACTGTGTATTTACGTCTCATGTGGGATCTGTCCTTAGTGTTGTGCAAAGTGAAGTAATGCTATAACTAGTACTGAAACAGTATTTTACACTTTGTGTTTCTGTGTGAGTGCAAACTGATCAAATCTTTACTTAATACATGCTAAATCGATCTTCTGTATATAAAGATAATTGAAAATGAATCTTGATGTGAATGGAATGGGAGAGGGAGCGGGAGATGGGAGGAGTTGAGTGGGAGGGAAAATAAAAAAAATACACAATTACTCTTAGGTGTTTAATTAATGCTATAACTAGTATTCAAATAGTATTTTACACTTTGTATTTCTGTGTGGGTGAAAACTGGAAATATTTACTTAATATATGCTAAATTGATCGTCTGTATATAAAGATAATTGAAAATTTAAAAAAAGATTACCAAACATTAAAGAAAAATAGAAGACACAAAAAATGGAAAAAATTTTCCAATTTTCCATGTTAATATATCAGAAGAATTCCTGTCATCAAAATATCCATACTGTACAAAGGAATTTATGGATTCATTGTGATATAAATGAATATTCCACGAATATTCTCAGTTCTAGAAAAAACTGCTAAAATTAATATGGAAACACCAGAGACCCCAACTGATAAAGCAATCTTAAACAACAAAAATAAAACTAAGGATCTCAGAGTACAGGTTTCAACACATACTGCAGGTCAGTTATTTTTATTATTTAAAGACATTTATTTATTTGAAAGGCAGAGTTACATAGAGGCAGAAGTAGAGAGAGAGAGAGGTTCTTCCATCTGTGGTTCAATCCCCAATTGTCTGTAATGGCCGGAGATGGGCCGATCTGAAGCCAAGAGTCAGGAGTTTCCTGAGGCCTTCTCACGTAGGTGCATGGTCCTTGGGCCAGCTTCCACTGCTTTCCCAGTCCATAGCAGAGAACTGGATCAGAAGTGGAGCAGCCAGGACTCGAACTGGTTCCCATACAATATGTTGGCACTGCAGGCTGCGGCTTTACCCATTATGCCACATCTCCAGCCCCCAGGGCAGTTATTATTAAAACAACCTGCTACTGCCATAAAAATAGACATTTAGACCAATAGAACAGTATAGAAATTCCAGAAATGCATTAATGCATCTACAGCCAACTAATATTTGATGAACAAACAAAAATCAATCCCTTGAGAAAAGATAGTCTCTTGAAAGACAGTGTTAGGAAAATTGGTTCTATGCATTCATAGGTATGAAACAAGATCCCTACCTTACGCCTTACACAAACATCAACCCACAGTGGATAAAGGATGGAAATCTATGGCCTGGTAACAGCAAACTACTAGAGGAATGAAAACTTGGGCAAACTCTGCAAGACATCGGCATAGGCAAAGATTTCTTGGAAAAGACCCCAGAAACATAGCCAATAAAAGCAAAAATAGACAAATGTGATTGCATCATTAAGAACCTTCTGCACTGCAAAGGTAATATTCAACGAAGTGAGGAAGCAACTAACAGAATGGGAGAAAATAGTTTTAACCTATGAAACTGATAAAGGATTAATATCCAGAATCTAAAAAGATCTCAAGAAATTTAGCAACAGAAGAAATAATCCAGTTAAGAAAAGGGCGAAGAACAAGAGTAAGCAATTTTCAAAAGATAAAATAAAAAAGGCTAACAAAAACATGAAAAAAAAATTGTATCACTAGCCATCAGGGAAATGCAGATGAAAGCCATAATGAGGTTTCACCTCACTCGAGTTAGAATGGCTATCATCCAAAAATCAAAAAAAAAAAAGAATAAATACAATGAATTCTGGTGAGATTGTGGGGGAAAAGGTACTCTAATCCAGTGTTGGCTAGAATTTAAACTAGTATAGTTATTGTGGAAGACAGTATGGAGCTTCTTCAGACATCTGAAAATAGACTTACTGTATGACCCAGCCATCCCACTCCTTGGAATTTACCCAAAGGAAATGAAATCACCAAATGAAAGTGTTAATTTTTTCATCATGTTTACTGAACCTCATACCAATTAGAAAGAATATCATCCAAAGATGGGAAAAAAAATTGTTGGTAAGGATGTGGGCAATAAGATTCCCTGATGCACTGTTGGTAGAAATGGAACGAGTACAATCATTTCAAAAGACAGAATGTAGATTCCCCAGAAATCTGAAATAGACCTATCATATGACCCAGCCATCCCACACCTGGGAATTTATTCAAAGTAAATGAAATAAGCATATGAAATATGTAATTGTACCCTCAGGTTTATTTTTGCTCAATTCACAATAAGAAAGATATGTAATAAACCCAGATGTCTGCCAACTGATGACTGGATAATGAAAACGTAGAATACTACTCAGCCATAAATATTCTTTTCTTTTGCAACAAAATGCATGTAACTAGAAACTATTATGCTTAGTTAGATAAGTCGTTCCCAGAAAGACAAATATCATACCTTTTTTGATATGTGGTAATTAGTACAGAAATAAAAAATATATATAGGGATAAAAAGGACACCTTGTGATTGGGGAGTGTTTTTGGCTCTTTCTTTATTCCGATGGAACTGTGGTCTTTCTACTTTTTATGTTGAATATTATGATTAGTGGCTTGTTAAGCTAGTGATTATGGAGTGCACTAAAATCATGCTTTTTGAAAAATTAAAGGAAAAAAATAAAAGAAAAAAGAGAGGAGTTGACAGTGGGAGAGAATAAGAGCGGAAATATGCTTATCTTCTGAGAATTGTACCTAAGAAATCCATGAAATATGTTCTCTTAATATTAATAAAAATTTTAAATGGTCTAAAATCAGATAACTTCCATGATTACAAATATGTAATGAACTGTTTCATACAGAATCTGCATTCCAGGTCTCTCCAGTACAACAGGAAATGACTTATATGACACATACTAAATAACTATTGGATGTTAAAAAAAATTGAGAACTATCAAAGAAGGTTTGATAGAAGTATTCAAAGTGAAAAAAAGGACTAGAAACTGTTAGAAGAAATAAAAGCAAACCAGGTATGCTGTAAGTGAATATACTGGTCATTGAGTTAATTAAAAAAACTAAATAAAAACAAAACAAACCAAAACGACTAACAGATAAATCAAATTAGGATGACACATAACGTAAAACATAATAAATTAATTGGAAAAGTGAAGAAAATTTGAGAAAAAGAAAGTGAATCATGGAAAATTAGGCTTGACAATACAAACACATGTAATGTTTTGGTCTTTGAATCCATATTTTTCATGGACTTTGAAGGTAACTAAAATAACTTTCGAATATTTTTCTCTCAATAATTTCCCTTGCCATTTTCTTTTTTTCTAAAAATGAAATTATTTATTTGAAAGGCAGAAAGGGAAGGAAGGAGTGAAAAAGGTAAAGAGGAGAGAGAGAGAGTGAAAGAGAGAGAGAGAGAGAGAATCTTCCATTCATAGGTTCACTCAACAAATGGTAGCAAGGGCTGGTGCTGGGCTGATCTGAAGCCAGGAGCTAGAAGTTTCTTCCAGGTCTCCCACATGTTTTCAGGGGCCCAAGGATTTAGGCTATCTTAGACTGCTTTCCCAGGTGCATTAAAAGGGAATTGAGTCAGAAGGGGGGCACCTGGGACTTGAGCCAGCCCCAAAGGAATACTGTTGCCACAGGCAGAGGATTTAATCTCTCTGCCACAGCACAGGCTCCTTATCCTCACTATTTCAAAACTGTACATTTAAAAAAATATTGCTAATGTTAACACTGAAATAATAGTGTCATAAAAGAAAGTGAGGCTGATCACTTGAATTGTCTATTAGTATTTTTTCTAAGATGTCATTCTCCTTGAGAATTCTTTGCAAGTATCTTCACTGAATGGAGTAACTTATCACAGAGTTAAAAGAAGGGAATAAGAAAATATAACTCAAAACAGCAGGTGTCTGGAGTGATGTCAGTCAAATTCTACACTCTTGAGGAAATGAAAATTTAAAAGACTTGTCTACAGGCATTTTAATTTGCTAATAATCTAAGTTGCATAAAATTGATAACAAGATATATCAATTCTTCATATAAGAAATAGTTCTTAAGGACATTTAATTTTTAGCATTTGACATAAAGAATGAAGAATATATAATATGTTGACAAAATAGATAATAAGTAAGGAATATTTTATACAAAATAAGTGAGTTGTAATGACATTCTGAGTAATGGCACAGAATCTGAATTAGACTGGGCAGGGTTATTTACTGATACTAGACACAAGGGGGACATGTAATGTTGAAATATGAAGACTATTGAAATGGGGAGTGTAGCTTTGAAAGAAAATCTAAGAGGAAGAGATAAAATTAAGTACTGAGCACAGAAAATAAAATAAGAAAGCAGACAACCAAGAAGATCTAGCACTTACAAAACAATACCAAAACTGTGCATAGAGAACAGTTAAGGAAGTGATTTTTTGGGGGGAATTCTTTATTTTCTTTGAGGAGTCACAAAAATGAAGATGATGTTAGGGATTTAATAATGTAGTTGGTATCTAAAGACTCATGACTTTTGAAACACCAAAGCTTTACATAGCACAAAACATTATGAGAATAATAACAAGGCATAGCATTATAAAATCTTCTAAAAATCAAAGCAGAGAGAAATCTGGGTAAATACAGATACTGGAAATAGTAAGTATGGGGATACAAATATATTACGTCCTTATTTTAGTTTTTTAAGAAAAATAATTGGCCATTTGAAACAAGAGGTGAAAATTTTTTGAGGGACTTATAAGAAGTAGCCATGAAATGAGTTACTGGCATGATATAGAAGCTGAGAAGAAAAGGAAGTATAGTGCTACAAAATTACACATGAAGGTTTATAATACTGCTGGAAGTAGAACATATGTCAGTGACTATTGTGAAGCACAAATCAATCAGTTTAAATTTTTCTAATTGCAACTTATTTTTAATGAATAAAAATAAGGTGAGCAAATTTCATGTATTTCATATATGCAGATTTAGAGAAACAGTTTAACTTCCCTCCCAACCCTCCCCCTGCCTATGCTCCTATCCGCCTTCCTCCTTCTTTTCTTATTCTTTAAATTTTTACAATGACATACTTTCTGATTATTTTATAAACATAATATTAACTCTCCACAAAATAAAGAATTCAGCAAATATTAATAAGAAAAAAAAAGCACTGTTCCTCAACACTAGAGACAGGGCTGTAAACAATAATGAATTCTCAAAATGTCAATTTCATTAATATACATTCCATTTTTGAACTCTATTAGTTACCACAGATCAAGGAAAATGTATAGTGTTTGTCTTTGGGGACTGGCTTATTTTACTAAGTAAATGATTTCTATTTGCATCCAATTTGTTGTGAAAGTCAAAGTCAAGATTTTGTTCTTTTTTATGGATAAGTAGCATACTGTAGTGTGTGTGTATGTGTGTGTGTGTGTGTGTGTGTGTGTCACATTTTCTTCATACAATCATCAGTTGCTGAACATCTGGGTTGATTCCATATTTTAGCTTTTGTGAAATGAGCTGCAATGAATGTGGAGACACAGATACTTTTTTCATATGCTGACTTCATTTCCTTTGAGTAAATTCAAAGGAGTGGGATGGTTGGTTCATATGGTAGATCTATTTTCAGATGTTTGAAGAAGCTCCATACTGTCTTCCATAGTAACTGTGCTAGTTCACATTTCAGCCAGCGATGGATTTGGATACCCTTTTCTCCACATACTCACCAGCATTGATTGATTGTTGATTTTTTTTATGAAAGCCATTCTAAGTGGGTTGAGGTGAAATTTCATTTTGGTTTTGATTTCCATTTGCATTTCACTGATGGCTAGCAATCCTGAGCATCTTTTCTTTTGTCTTTTGATCATTTAAATTTCATCTCTATCTTTTTTTTGGTTCACCCTCCAATGGCCGCCGTGGCTGGCGCGCTGCGACCGGCGCACCGCGCCTATCGGAAGGCAGGAGCCAGGTGCTTCTCCTGGTCTCCCATGGGGTGCAGGGCCCAAGGACTTGGGCCATCCTCCATTGCACTCCCAGGCCACAGCAGAGAGCTGGCCTGGAAGAGGGGCAACCGGGACAGAATCCGGTGCCCCGACCGGGACTAGAACCCGGTGTGCTGGTGCCGCAAGGCGGAGGATTAGCCTAGTGAGCCACGGCGCTGGCTACATTTCATCTCTTAAAAAGTGTCTATTCATGTCCTTAGCTTATTACTTAACATTGTTTTTTTGTTGTTGAGTTTCTTGAGCTATTTATGGATTCTGGAGATTAATTCTTTATCAGTTTCTTAGTTTACAAATATTTTCTTCCATTCTGTCACTTGCTTCTTCACATTATTGAGTATTTCTTTTGCTGTGCAGAAGCTTCTCAGCTTGATGTTATCCCATTTTTCTATTTTTGCTTTCATTGCCTGTACTTCTGGGGCCTTTTCCAAGAAGTCTTTGCCTATGCCAATGTCTTGCAGAGTTTCCCTTGTGTTCTCCTCTAGTACTTTCATGGTATCAGGTTGTAGATTTAGGTCCTTAATCCATTTGGAGTTCATTTTTACACAAGGGGTATAAGGTAGGAGTCTTGTTTCATACTTCTGCACAGAGAGATCCAATTTTCCCAGTACCATTGCTTGAAAGACTGTCCTTTCACAAACAATTGATTTTAGCTCATTTGTCAAAGATTAGCTAGTTGTAGATATATGGATTGATTTCTGGGGTTTCTACTCTGTTCCATTGGTCTAGATGTTCTATTTTTGTGCCAGTAGCAGGGTGTTCTGATTATAACGGCCCTGTAGTGGGTCTTGAAGTGTGGAATTGTGATGCTTTTGGCTTTGTTTTTGTTGATTATGATTGTTTTAGGTGTTCAAGGTCTCTTATGTTTATATATGAATTTTAACATCATTGGTTTCTAGATTTGAGAAGAATGTCATTGATATTTTATTTGGGATCTCATTGAATGTGCAAATTGCTTTTGGTATTATGGACATTTTGTTGATATTAATTCTTTCAATCTACATACATGGAATATTCTAAGGAATTAAAAGAAAGCAGGGGCTATTGTCAAATGCTGATGTCATGTAAGAAAGGAATGAAAGTGTGGGAAATGAATTTTGGGAAAATATTAATGTGAATGAATATTGAGTTTAATCACTAGATACTCATTGTTGTCTTTTAATAGAGTATTTTCTGGAGTTATATGACATTTTAGTATTTTAGTTAAAATGCTATGTAAATTGCCATCCCAAAATACATTTCTCTAGTCTTTCTGGATATGTAGGTGCTCATAACAACTAGTGAGGCACAGAAATGTTGTCTTTTATTTATAACATTGTATTTTAGATCTTCTCATTATTACAACATAAACCTTGCATTTTAGATCTACTCATTATTACAACATAAACTTAAGTCTAGGTAAAGAGCTGTCAGTGTTTTCTGCTACTCATTATTGCAACATAAACTTAAGTCTAGGTAAAAGAGCTGTAAGTGTTTTCTGCTACTCATTATTACAACATAAACTTAAGTCTAGGTAAAAGAGGAGCTGTTAGTGTTTTCTGCTATGGCAAAAACCAAGATATGTGGCATCGCTACAGTGGGAAAGCAGCATGGAAACATAATGTTTAGAAAGCTTGTCACCCTTGTTATGCAATCATGGTTGATAAATGGCTGTCTTTGATAAATTGTAAAGCAGAACATGTGGTTACTGAGCCTGTGTTGCTGGAAATATTTATAAAGAATCACAATGTGCATGTATATGGCCTGATTTTTGATGCTGTATGCAAATTACTAGTAATGGAGATAACCTCAGGCAAGATTTGACTTACTTTCAAAACCAGATGGCTTACATTTAAAACCTTTGTGGGGTTGGAAAATCCAACTCATATCCTTGTATTTCTTTAAAACAAGAAGATAAAATAATGTTACTCAGAGAACTTTTATCAATATTTCTGATTAAGATTCTTCAGAATAAAATGTATTTAAACATATCAAATTTCAGATTGTGAGTGTTGTCTCTCATACCAGTGTCTTGTGTAGTTCTTTATGTTATCAGCAATAAAATGAGTTTGGGAGAAATAGGAATGTTGAATTTCAGCAGTTTAACTTTTATCCTAATTAGCAACTTAGAAAAATATGAGATGTTTGTTATTACCTTGAAGTTCATTGGGTAAATAGAGTCTTTATGTAAAAACAGATATTCTACTAATCCTTAATTAGAATGCATAACGAGAGAAACGGATTGTGTGGAAATAACTCACTTATGACCTTTCTTCACATAGATCCTCATAAGCTTAGGAAGGGAGATATCAAAATTATGATCATAAGTAGGTTTAGATAGTCATATTAATGCATATTGTTGATATCTTTTCCAATGAAGATATTTTAATAGTTCATGAATAATGTTATTATGAAAAATTATGCATATATTTCTGTTTTTTCTAAAATATAAACTTATCTGTTCGTTCAATTTTCCATGAACTTTTTGACATGCCCTCATACATAAGAATATTTAGAACATATAGTTCAGTATATAATATATAGGGCATATATGTAGTAAATAATATATAGAATATGTAGTATAGAGTATATACAGTAATGATATATATTATTCTCTATGTATTTATAAAATATTCCTTTTAATATATTCACAAACAAATTTATGCTCTCTAAATGGAGTTAAAAGTTTGAATTTTCACAATTTGCAAAGTAATAAACTTTCTAGGTGTTCTAAATTTAGGTAGAAAAATAGTAACTTATCAGACAACATCCAGAAACACATCATGAAATCTCTGAATGTGTAAATGAATTTGACATTTGCTAGGAGCTAATGAGATACATGCTTTCTGTCTAATTTGTCAAACATTTCTTTTGGAAATCTTAAATAGAGATGCCTTCTAAATTTGAGTCATTAGAATGGAATGAGTCATAGTACACCAAAAATCAGAATCATATTCCTGTCTCCTAATGATATTTCACAAGAAAAGTCAAGGCCTTCACTGTTTATGAATATGATTTTGAATGCTGAGTCTGTGAATTATTGTCACCTTAAGCACTTTACTCCGTTTGTTAGAATCTTGTACATGGCGAAAACCTAGGAGCCAGAGCCAAATATGGTCTTGGTCCAGCTATTAACAACGTTGTTTTTCTGAGTGCAATAACATTGTATTTCACTTTCGTTTCAATTTATTGTGTCACTGCTGTCTCCTTTTAGAATTCAAAACGCAGGATGTTAATTATTGGTTCAATTATAGACTGCTTTATTTCCTGTTGCCTCATAAAGCTGTTTAGTTTATGCCACACACAATGCACTCCACGGAGTGGACACCTCTTGGGTTCAATTCCATCTTGAGCCTGTAAGAAAATATCCTTTAATTTTGGCGTATATGGAAAAATTTATTGTGTTTACTTTATAAAAATGAGCCTGAAACCTTTCATGCATTATTTATACTTTTGTAAAATATTAGTGTTTTTCTCACTTGTTAACCATGCTTCTCCTTAATTTTATCTGTTCTTCAAATTATATTTTAAATTGGAAAATAAACATTTAAAATAATAATCAATAAACAATTAGTATTCACTTATTGTGCTCCAAGAATAGTCTTTAAATGGTGAATGTAATGCCTTTATGATATGAGTAGGTATTATTTATTATGTTTTAAACCTTTTCTCTTTTTGTGTTAATAAAATTGTTTTGGCAAAATTTTTTATTTACATAAGGTGTATAAATTTCATGTATTTCATATATCCAGCTTTAGGAGAACAGTGATACTTCCCACACTCATATTCTCTTTTTTTAAGAATTATTTATTTATTTATTTGAAAGTCTTCAAATTTACACACAGAGAGATGGAGAGGCAGAGAGAGAGAGAGAGAGAGTGAGAGAGAGAAAGATAGAGAGATCCTCCATCCAACAGTCACCAGTTGGCAATAAGGGCCAGAACTGTGCCGATCTGAAGCCAGGAGCCAGGAGTTCTCCTGGTTCTCCCACGTGGGTGTAGGGGCCCAAGGACTTGGGCCATTCACCACTACTTTCCCAGGCCATAGCAGAGAGCTAGATCAGAAGTGGAGCAGCTGGGACTCGAACCAGTGCCCATATGGGATGCCAGCACTGGCAGGCCATGGCTTTGCCCGCTACACTTTAGCGCCGGCCCCACCCACACTCTCTTAACGTTAGTTTTATTTCTTTCCTGTTAAGAAATTTTATTCTTCACCTTAGGTGTTATAAATCTCATTTTTATATTTTTCTTTTTTTTACAAACTTCTTAAATTATTAAAACTTTACCTGACACATTTCAGCGCATAATCTATTTTAATTTTTGCCTTTGTTGTGAGACAATGCTTCATTGTAAGTAATGTTTTTGTCTACTATATAACCATATTTAAAATTCTTTTAATTTGTTTAATTGGTGACTGATTTTATACCTCATAATTTTAAACTAAATTTGTTTTATAATTAGAACACTTAAAATGTGTCCTATATTTACTATAATCAACATGTTGTACAATATCTCTCCTGAGATTATTCTTTCTATCCTATTGAATTTTAATATTCTTTGATCAGCATCTATCCTATATTCCTTCTGCCACCACTGCTCAAGCCTCTGGTGACCACTGTTTTACCATCTGTTTCTACAAATTTCACTTTTTTGGATTGTACACATGAGATCTTGTGGCATCTGTCTTCCTGTGTCTCACTTATTTCACTAATCATAATATCCACAAGGTTCACCCATGTTGTTGTAAATGATAGAATGTCCTACTTGTTAAAGGCTGAATAGTACTCCATTGTGTGTATAGATCACATATTCTCTATTAGTTCATCTATTGATGGACTCAGTTTGATTCTGTATCTTGCCTATTGGGAATAGTTTGAATTTGCAATGAATTTGGGAGTGTAGATATCCTTTTGACATACTGATTTCGTTTCTTTTAGAAGATATACAAGTTGCCAATAGCATATGAGAAAAACCAAAATCAATAATTTTCACAGAAATGCAAAATAAAAACTAAGAGATAACACTTCATGTTTGTTAAAATAGCTATTAATGGAGCCAGCATTAGTCTAATAGTTAAGACACCCATATGCCACCTTGGAGTACCTGGATTTGATTTTTGATACCTAGCTCTGATTTATTATTATTAAGAAAATTCCATTTATTTCACTAAAATTTTAACACAAAAATCTTCTTAACCCTCTTTTAAAACAATTCGATGACATCACAGTATTTTCCCTTATTGTCCTACTAGCAGAACTTTTTTTTCTACAATTCTTATTTTGTCTTACAGTTATCACTAACAGGGACATTTAAGTTATAAAGTCACTTGCTTAAATTGATATTTATATAATTTTCTTAGTTATATGCTATACATTTTCAATTACATTTGTAGATTAAATGTGTTTCATTCAGCATTAAATACAAGCAATGCTACAAAAAATTAATTCATGGCAGTTTTTTTCAGAAAAATCTGTTTTTTTCAGTGTCATTCTGGAGTGATCACTCCTCTTACATGCAACACAAATTAAGTTTTTTTAATGCTTAAAATTTTCATAAAGCAAATTAAACAATGCAAGTTTATATGTCTTTTAAAAATAACTTAGTATAATTTTCAACTACAGAGTACATTTAAATGTTTTTTTTAAAAGCTGTGTACCTTACCATGACTGCCTCCAGGTGCTGTAGAGTTGTCTGTGTTTATTTTTTCATAAAGATATTTAGTTGGCTCATAATAATTGCACATACTCTTGGGGTAAAAAAAAAGATTATGCAATACATTTTTATGATATGTAATCATCAAATCAGGGTGATTAGTTTGATGAACAGGTATTGGTGTACAGTGATTGCTACAGAATTTTTCTTAAACTCTCAGTGATGATGGCGGATAGATATTTAGTCATTAAAAAGCCAGTGAAAGACAGAGGTTGAATGGTGCCGAGGAAAGCTTCTGTTTCTGACATGATCAGAACTACTGACTTCCCTTTAATTGCTCTATTTTAAAAGCTGGACATGAAATTGTTCTATTACAGAATTTGTTCTGACGGATCACCTACATTGAATTTAAAGTGCCAGTAAATTAAGATTAAAAACACATGCTTACAAAAATGAGTCTAAGGGAATGAAAACAGAATTTTATGTGCCTTTGGTATGTCAAGTCTCAGAGTATCCACTCAGTATACATTGAGGTCTGTTTCCATCCCCACTGGAAGTGAAGTTATAGCTTTCTTTTGTTGTAGCTGAGGTGGCACAATTGCTTTGGTTAATTTTTGAAGATCCCTCCAACAAATATTTACCATTTAATTTTTTAATTTTAAAAATCTTGAACTGTTATTAAATTTATCAGTATTGATACATCTCAAGTTTCTTAAAATGAATTTAGTTTTTCACTATTTACTTTCTTTTGGTGAATTCATTCTCAAAACTGTCTTCAATTATCATTAAAAATAGTAGAAAGAAATTTGAAGACTTGAACTTCCGTTCCAACCTTAACTCCAAGATTTGATTCATTCACTACTGCTAATAAAATAACTTCTTTATGTAGCCATGTCATTTCAGTGAGTTTCTAAGAAAGATCTGGCACCAGAGAGCTGAATGTATTCCATTTGTGCACAGTCCTCTCCCTTCGTATTTGTACTGTTTTGGAAAAGCTCTGCAGTCTCCATCACTGGGCTCTGAGAAAAGGGAGGATACTTCCAGGGGGAACTACCCGAGAGGGTAAATTACAGGGGATCATTACTTTAATTGCTATAATTACTTCCATTGCTATTGGCAGCTAGAAATTGATAAGGGAGATTCAATAGTGCCACTATGCAATTTCTTCTATTTTTCACTTGTCCCAAGAAATGAATATGCAATTCTAGGTTATAATAACACATTTTCATGTTGTCTGATTGCCTGTTAGCTTCTTATGGAAAATCCGGCCTCCCAACATTGCTATTTTTCTGGTCAAGAAACAGCATATGTGTGTGTGGGGAGAAGGCTCTGAATGTTCCTTTTCCATTTCCCTAGGCTCCAACACTATATTACAATTTTACTCTTAGGCTCCTTCTTACTATAAGGCTTAAAGTTATTGAGAGAATCACAGTTCTGTTAGAGAATAGTGGAAAAAATATCTGCTTTGAATCTAGAGTATGAATCCATAAAAAGGACAGTCAAGGCATCTGGAGAGAAGGAATTAGCAGGGAGTGTGAGACACTGACTAAGGGAAAACAACACTAAGAGTCTGCAGCCCTAGTGGGTCGTTGGATGCAATGTGAAATTGTACTGGCCCTTCATATCGTGTCTAGGGAAAGATAGCAAAACCCAAAATGTGCTTTAAGGCTCATATACTCCAAGAATAGCATATAAGGAAACGCTGGGAGAGAAAACTTCATGATTCTAATTTTACATTACATAAGCTAAAGCCGGAGAGTGGATGCCTGTAGTTTCCCTGTCACGTACTTCTTCCCTCATTTG